GCTCGGCGGAACGCCACCCGTGTCGGTCCGCGCTGCCGCCATGAGATGGGGAAGGGAAGGCGCAAGAACCGGGCGCCGAGAGCCGGCAGTGGACGAGGAGACGTCGGACCTGCGGACGAGACAGGTCACGTGGCTGCAGCGCCATGATTGCAGATCGTGTTGCTGTAGCCACGTGGCCTGCTTTCTCGGCAGGTGCGACGGCTAGCGTCGCCGCTGCGCAGCTGGAGCGGCAACTCGGACGTGTTGCTGCGGCGAGAGCGGGTGAGGCACAGCTGGCTGCCGGTGTAAGTCGGGGCGGGTCCGGGCGGCGGTCGGCTTCAGGAGGTGAAGCTAGTCGCGGCTGGGGCCTGGGCCGAGTGGACACTTCAATTGGCTCAGGAGGTTGGGTCCCTTGGCCACCTGCCGGGCGCTTTCCTGGAGATTTGCTTCTGGTTTCAGAAAGCAACGTTAGGCACTAGGCTGCCCCTAAACGTCTCCCGGCGCCCTTGGCGGCCCAGCAGCATGTCCTTTGGCCACCTGCCGGGCGCTTTCCTGCTTGGCGGCCCAGCAGCATGTCCTTTGGCCACCTGCCGGGCGCTTTCCTGGAGATTTTCTTCTGGTTTCAGAAAGCAACGTTAGGCACTAGGCTGCCCTTAAACGTCTTAAACGTGTCCCGACGCCCTAGGCTGCCCTTAAACCTTTTTCCCGGCGCCTTGGCGGCCCAGCAGCATGTCCTTTGGGCACCTGCCGGAGATTTTCTTCTGGTTTCAGAAAGCAACGTTAGGCACTAGGCTGCCCTTAAACGTCTTAAACGTGTCCCGACGCCCTAGGCTGCCCTTAAACTTTTTTCCCGGCGCCTTGGCGGCCCAGCAGCATGTCCTTTGGGCACCTGCCGGGTGCTTTCCTGGAGATTTTCTTCTGGTTTCAGAAAGCAACGTTAGGCACTAGGCTGCCCTTAAACGTCTTAAACGTGTCCCGACGCCCTAGGCTGCCCTTAAACCTTTTTCCCGGCGCCTTGGCGGCCCAGCAGCATGTCCTTTGGCCACCTGCCGGGCGCTTTCCTGGAGATTTTCTTCTGGTTTCAGAAAGCAACGTTAGGCACTAGGCTGCCCCTAAACGTCTCCCGGCGCCCTTGGCCACCTGCCGGGCGCTTTCCTGGAGATTTTTCTTCTGGTTTCAGAAAGCAACGTTAGGCACTAGGCTGCCCCTAAACGTCTCCCCGCGCCCTTGGCCACCTGCCGGGCGCTTTCCTGGAAAGCAACGTTAGGCACTAGGCTGCCCCCAAACGTCTCCCGGCGCCCTTGGCCACCTGCCGGGCGCTTTCCTGGAGATTTTCTTCTGGTTTCAGAAAGCAACGTTAGGCACTAGGCTGCCCCTAAACGTCTCCCGGCGCCCTTGGCGGCCCAGCAGCATGTCCTTTGGCCACCTGCCGGGCGCTTTCCTGGAGATCTTCTTCTGGTTTCAGAAAGGAACGTTAGACACTAGGCTGCCCCTAAACGTCTCCCCGCGCCCTTGGCCACCTGCCGGGCGCTTTCCTGGAGATTTTCTTCTGGTTTCAGAAAGCAACGTTAGGCACTAGGCTGCCCCTAAATGTCTCCCGGCGCCCTTGGCGGCCCAGCAGCATGTCCTTTGGCCACCTGCCGGGCGCTTTCCTGGAGATTTTCTTCTGGTTTCAGAAAGCAACGTTAGGCACTAGGCTGCCCCTAAACGTCTCCCCGCGCCCTTGGCCACCTGCCGGGCGCTTTCCTGGAGATTTGCTTCTGGTTTCAGAAAGCAACGTTAGGCACTAGGCTGCCCCTAAACGTCTCCCGGCGCCCTTGGCCACCTGCCGGGCGCTTTCCTGGAGATTTTCTTCTGGTTTCAGAAAGCAACGTTAGGCACTAGGCTGCCCCTAAACGTCTCGCCCGCGCCCTTGGCCACCTGTCGGGCGCTTTCCTGGAGATTTTCTTCTGGTTTCAGAAAGCAACGTTAGGCACTAGGCTGCCCCTAAACGTCTCCCGGCGCCCTTGGCGGCCCAGCAGCATGTCCTTTGGCCACCTGCCGGGCGCTTTCCTGGAGATTTTCTTCTGGTTTCAGAAAGCAACGTTTGGCACTAGGCTGCCCCTAAACATCTCCCGGCGCCCTTGGCCACCTGCCGGGCGCTTTCCTCGTTAGGCACTAGGCTGCCCCTAAACGTCTCCCGGCGCCCTTGGCGGCCCAGCAGCACCTGCCGGGCGCTTTCCTGGAGATTTTCTTCTGGTTTCAGAAAGCAACGTTAGGCACTAGGCTGCCCCTAAACGTTTCCCGGCGCCCTTGGCCACCTGCCAGGCGCTTTCCTGGAGATTTTCTTCTGGTTTCAGAAAGCAACGTTAGGCAGTAGGCTGCCCCTAAACGTTTCCCGGCGCCCTTGGCCACCTGCCAGGCGCTTTCCTGGAGATTTTCTTCTGGTTTCAGAAAGCAACGTTAGGCAGTAGGCTGCCCTTAAACGTCTCCCGGCGCCTTTCTTCTGGTGTCAGAAAGCAACGTTAGGCAGTAGGCTGCCCTTAAACGCCTCGCGGCGCCTGAGGCTGCCCTGCAACCGTGCCCGGCGCCTTTGGCGGCCCAGCAGCATGTCCTTCGGCTACCTGCCGGGCGCTTTCCTGGAGATTTTCTTCTGGTTTCATTTCAGAATAGTGCCCTTAAACCTTCCCGGATCTTCCCGGCGCCCTTAGTATGCTGCCCTTAAACCCTTCCCGGTGCCCTTGGCGGCCCAGCAGCATGTCCTAGCCTATGCTTCTTTCTTTTCCTCGCACTTCCAGCTCCTCTGTGTGCACGGGCGTCCCGCTGGCGTGTTGTGCTGCACGCGGATTCGCCCCGACGCGCAGGCTGACCACACGGCCGCTTGGCACCGCGGGCATGTATGCATATGTTTTCGCGTTGCATCGCTGACTTTGCCTGTCTTTACATAGAACCGGCTGCCGCACACGCTGCCATGGTTGACTTGCCCAGTCATCACGCTGCTGCTCACTTTGCCATCGCAAAACGGGCACTGGTACACCATCTTCTTTGCCACGACGCATCCGTCTTTGACCTGAAATCGGTTGCCACAATGCCTGCGGTGATCTACTCGGCCAGAACGCACACTGCTGCTGACGGCAACCTCACAAAAGGGGCACGTGTAGTGGCATGTGTCGTCCGTGTTCTCTTGGGGACCGCACGCGGGAGGCAACTTGTGCGGGGCGCCCGCGCCACTTGCCGCTCGCGCGAGCCCTTCGCGACCTGCGTTTGCGGCCTTCTCCGGTAACCCCATCGCGCCAGGTGTTGCCTGCGCGCTCGTCTTTGCCCTCCGTTCGGTTATTGCCGCTATTTCGCGTCGGACGTCCTCAACAATGGATTGCTCGCGCTCCCTCTGGAGGCGGTGCCGCAACCGCAGCACGCGTTGGTTCGCTCTGCGAGCGACGCGACAAACCAACGCCAATGACACGCACGTGTTGCATTGTTGCGTGCCAACTTTTGTTTCGAGTGATCGCGCCGTAACTTATATTATATTATATTCTAGTATATTATATTATATTATATTATATATTATATTATACTATATCAATTATCCGCCGACCCCGCTTGCAGCAGGGGGAGCGCGTCAGAGGAGGAATTACCAGCAGCAAGGGCCAAGAAGTCATTACAAGCAGCAAGGGCAAGAAGCAAGAAAACAAGAAAGAAGAAGCAAGAAGCAAGAAGCAATTACAGGCAACAAGCGGCAAGAAGCAAGAAACAAGAAGCCAGGAAGCAACAAGCGGCTGGAAGACAGGTCAGAGAGCTAGTTTTCTTGTCGATTCAGAAAGCAACGGCGGCTGGAAGACAGCTCAGAGAGCTAGTTTTCTTGTAGGTTCCAGAAGCAGTGAGAGCCGTGGCCCGCAGGCCCGGTCCGTCCCTCAGGGCCCTGCTGTTTTGGTGTGGCGAAGGCGCCGTTTGTGAGGCTTTTGGCGGCAGGAAGACAGCTCAGACAGCTAGTTTTCTTGTAGGTTCTTTGATTTCAAGTTTCATACAGATGGTTTGTTTAAGTCAGTTTCTGGTTTCTTTAGAGTTCATTTCATGCTTACGACACAGAGGCAGGCATGACCCTCCAGTGTCCAGGGGTCGGCGGCAGAGGGCGTAGCCCTTTAATAATTTCAACCACAAGTTCTCTCATAAAAAGAAATGGCAAACACTACTTTGCAAGATGTCCGGCCATGTATCTTCAAATGATAATTTCAACCACAAGTTCTCTCATAAAAAGAAATGGCAAACACTACTTTGCAAGATGTCCGGCCATGTATCTTCAAATGATAATTCAACGGCAAGTTCTCTCATAAAAAGAAATGGCAAACACTACTTTGCAAGATGTCCGGCCATCTATCTTCAAATGATAATTTCAACCGCAAGTTTTCTCATAAAAAGAAATGGCAAACACTACTTTGCAAGATGTCCGGCCATGTATCTTCAAATGATAATTTCAACCGCAAGTTTTCTCATAAAAAGAAATGGCAAACACTACTTTGCAAGATGTCCGGCCATGTATCTTCAAATGATAATTTCAACCGCAAGTTTTCTCATAAAAAGAAATGGCAAACACTACTTTGCAAGATGTCCGGCCATGTATCTTCAATGATAATTTCAACCGCAAGTTTTCTCATAAAAAGAAATGGCAAACACGACTTTGCAAGATGTCCGGCCATGTATCTTCCAATGATAATTTCAACCGCAAGTTTTCTCATAAAAAGAAATGGCAAACACTACTTTGCAAGATGTCCGGCCATGTATCTTCAAATGATAATTTCAACCGCAAGTTTTCTCATAAAAAGAAATGGCAAACACTACTTCGCAAGATGTCCGGCCATGCATCTTCAAATTATAATTTCAACCACAAGTTCTCTCATAAAAAGAAATGGCAAACACTACTTTGCAAGATGTCCGGCCATGTATCTTCAAATGTTTCTTTGTCCTTGTGCAGCACAAATGGAACTTTCACTTTCGCATTTGTTTTTGAAGGAAGGTTCTTAGAGCTCCCCAGGCTGCTGCCCGGCCTCTTCAATTTCAAAGATCTTTCCCACGCCCTGTACGGCCTGGGCACACCAAACTCCAAACAGTTTTAGCTATGCAGGCTATGCAGGCTATGCAGCATACAACTGACTGAGCTCCGCACATGCGATACAGTTCTCTTTTTCGCATCCTGCAAACTGGCCAGCAAAGGAGTGGTGTATGATGCATATCTTCACCTGCTTGGTCTGCTTGACACTGCTTGACGGACTTGATTGTATCCACCAATGGCATCAAAGTCACAGCCTCTCCATCATCTGGTGGTCCCCTAAAGTCGCATCAACAGCTCACGAACCCGAACCAACTAAGGGTCGAAAGTGGAATCCAAAGCATTCTGAAATGAAGAAATGATGAAAGCACAGCTAGGTGATGATGACACTCAGCTCTGAAAACTTGCCAGCAAGCCTGAAGAGGCCTTTGCAGCGATACACGAACCCAGCCGTTCCCTGTCAAGGCTGGAACTGCTGCTCCAGTTAGGATACCACAGTGCGATCACATTGCAACGCTCATGCACCTCCCACAGGACGTCAGCAAGCCAGGAGCGAACCTCTGCCACACCAGAAAAAGCAAAAGGAAACGAACATGTCAAAGCCAGTTTAAGCCCAGCATGAGCGCGGAGCAAGCCTTGTCTGGATCGTACAATGCATCATCCTGAAACTCAGCAAAGGTTTTTTCAGAACGGCTGGATGTTTTCAAGATCATCTAGGTCTGAGAATATTGCACTCAAAGGTCAAGGTTGATCCTCAAATTCCCATTACCTTTGGCTGTTTGGGGCCTTCCCTCATTTGTGGACAAACATCTCAGTCACGAAAGCATTTCCCAGGTCAAGTTTGGCTCCCGACCTCCCCGTGCAGTAGCACACTTTCGATTCCATGGGCGCCAGTGAGTTTCCCAACCTGAAAAAATGACAGGCTGGTGGCGGTGGACAATGATGGACATGTTCAGATTTAAGACAGCTGGAAGTTGTGCCAGCCTCGCAATCGCAATAACCATGGCCTTGCGAAAAAAAAAATGTTCAAGAAATGGACTTCAAAATGTTTCAAAATGTTTCAAAATGTTCAAAACAACCCTTCTGCCTTTTGCCCAATCGGATGTTGGTGAAATGCATTGCCCAATTCAACTCAGGCGCTATGGCCATCATGGAGATGACCATCATGCCCATGCCCAGATTCTTCCTGTGCTTTGGCAGCATCATGTATCATCTATGAGAACCAAACTATCTGCTTGGCTGACTGATCGAAACAACGCCATGCTATATTTTCCACATCGACACATCTTGCAAAGCGAAATCATCGAAGTCTCCAAATTCGGTTAATTCGGTTGAGACTTTCAGCCCTTTTTCTGAGCCTCAAAGGCTGGAAGCGAAAGTACAGATGCTGCAAGGCCTCGGGTTGAGATACGGCTTTCTCCGAAAATATGCTATACCGCTTAATGGGCAAAATATAGAATCATCAACAAATCAACCATCAGACTTGGGGTATATGCCAAGACACACCCGTATCTCCAAGCCCACTGGTCAACAGGAAACCAACCACCCCAAGGTCGTACCAAGAGCCATACGGTCTTTATCAAAGGCCTGCAGCCCAAGGATGTCTCCCAGAGGCCTCAGCTGCCACAAATCGCACCATGCTTGTTGGCACCGAGGCATACTGAGCCCATGGCACTTCAGCAAAACGGCTTTCAAGGAGCCTTTTAAAAACGGGGAAGATGGGGAAGATGGGGAGGAGTCAGGCTGAATGCTGAGTCAGGTCAACTCGCGCTAAAAACAACTCTGGCACCTCGCAGTCGGGTTGATGTCTCTGAGGGTGGCCGCTGCTCGCGTCCGCTCGGTCTGAGACGATGGTTTTTTGATGGACCCCTTCACTTTCCGTTCACTGCACAAGACACACTTGCTACTGTACTTGGTGCCTCTGACACAAGGTCTACTTTGTTGAGGATGAGCACATCTGCACATGCAACCTGTCAAAAACTTCCCAAAGGGTGAGTCATTTCCAGGGAGCAGCACAGTGCAATATCAAAACATAGTCATAGTATATAATTTATATGTATGTGTACCTATTTACGTGCAATGTATACACATTTGCATATGTATATATATATATGTACATATAGATATACACGTTATATACATATGACATCACATGACATGAATGTAGTCTTGCCTGCTTCAGTGCTTCAGCCTCCAATCCAAGACTGGTCGTCTTTGAGTCCTCGTCAGCCTGCAAGGTCTGAAAGACCGACTCCGTTGGACGATTTACAGGCAACCTGCAACTATCGGCAACATATTGTCCCATCGAATCTAGGTGGTTCCATTTTTAAAAACTCATGGTTTCCAATGGTTCCATTGGTTTCCTCTGAAGTTTCCCCATTCTAAAAAGGACACAACGAATCACGGCTCGATAGTGCCTTCCTCTTGCCCAGGTACGACAACATGTTGTATGAATCCACCAGGGAAAGGACACCATCGAGATAGACTCTGCCTGAGGACTGGATCATGGGATATGAAGCAACACAATGATGGATGGCCCCACAGCCAGTATAGCATCATATAGTCATCATATGGGGTGTTCCATAAATGGGGTTACACCAAAATGGATAGTTTCTAATGAAAAATCCGATAAAAATTGATGATTTGAGGGTACCCCCCATTTCAGGAAACATCCGTATAGCTAGCCATGTGATGCCATGTGCCTCAATGTTTTACCTCTAACGATCCTAAAGTGCATATCTTTGATCGGAACAAGGACATCAATACCTCCTGAGGCTTAAGCTTCCAAGCCCTTCATCGACCCAAAACACCTCTGCCAGCGACAATTTGGACCGATTTTGCACTGTTGGAGGCCATGATTTTTTTTGCCTAGCCAGTCTCTTTGATTCCATCCTCCTTTTTGATCTAGCCTTACTAATTCGTGAATGCTCATTATATTATAATATACTGTGTATGTATATATATATATACACACATAGTTCCCTTGTGAATTAGGGCTGCCAGATTTGAACTTTATAGAGGGAAATGGCTTTATAAAATCTGGAGATTTCTGGGTGTCCAGAACCACAATTTATAGATAAAATAACGGAGGGGGTGTATATACGTATATAATACATATCTATATCATAATATCTATCTATATATATAATTATATATCACATCATATATCATAAACTTACGACCTACATAGCCATGCAATGTACTCACTTACATTCACTTATAATTGCGGGTCGTGCCTCACAGACGGCTTCTGGATCCGCAATTCCAGTCGCCTGACTTTCTCACACAACGAGATGCGAAGAGCATCAAGGCACTGAGGGGAGCCTCGACTAAAACGTGGTCAAAGCGGTCCTTCTGCTCCAACAAGACATCCAACATCCCAATGAGGCCATCCTGGCACCCGGGATTCCATCGGCTTTTTTTTGTTCCATGAAAATGTGACCTGACCCCTGACATGGCGTATCAATGTTGTAAGGAATCTGGCTGTCTTTTGAGTATTGAAGTTTTGAGTTACTCCGATGTCTTCTATGACTAATATGACTATCAGCCTTGGCAGAACAGCAAAGGCATCCATTGGGAAGTTCGTAGACGTCCTCCAACACATGCAAGGTTTCGAGGTGAAGCCAAACCGGGCCAGACCAAAGTGGAGAACAAGAGTATTAATATTCTACACCAAGCATCGATTGTTTTCTGCACTGCGTCATGTCTTGTCCTTGATGGTGTCACCCTTTGCATCAGTAAACAAAGGTGCCTGTATCGAAGCAAACCCATCAACTCACGTTGGCTTTCCAATAGTTGTCGGCCGAATGGACAATCTACTCAGCTGCACAAATGGAGCACCACTTCAAAGAGGAGCGTAGCTCATCCAAACTCTTCAGCAGTAGATGCTGATTCCCAAGAGGCCTCCATGCCCATCTCTTCTGAAAACCTGGGCCGCAAAAATGGAGACCCCTTCAGGCCCCATCAGCTCATCAAATTTCAGGCCCAAGCTCATTCTGAATCACAGCCACTCTGTATCCATGAGGTTTTTCCAAAATGTGCCTCCGGCGGCCCCAAAAAATATGGATTTCATGTGGCTTTGACACGATTTGAAAAACCCAACAATCAACGCACTGGACAAACTCAACTGGAATGGTGATCCAATGTGATCCACTTGGTGCAAACGCAGAAACTAGCCTGACCTCAGCAATGTTGTCTTTCCAGCTCCCAACACGCCAGTGAGGACGGTCACTGGAATGCGAGTCTGGGCAGGCTAAAGCGTTGGAAACTTTCCAAACTCAAACATCACTGGGCATCTATCTCAGTGTGGTCGTTGACAGCCACAAAGCCAAAAAAAACTCTGCAAACTCAGAATTGCCTCTCCGACACACTCCTGACCTGAGTGCTTCAAAACTCTTCATATAAATCAATTTAGGAAGTATAACAGGTTCTGTCAGCAAGAATCTTTGCCAGGAAAGGAGAGAACAGGGTGAGACTCGCACTGGAAGCTTCCATTCCACATTGTAGGGCTCCATAAGGTTCTGAATGAGAATGATATGGATCTATTTTTGCGCGTTAAATAGTTAAATAGAAATATCTGTATGCTGACTTGAAACCAACAGCAATACAGTATCAGGCCAGCCAAATGCCAAGTCAAAGATTTAAGCTGCAGCTTTTTTGCCTATTGTCATGTGTCGAGCCATCAATCAGCTTCAGGCAGAGAGTACAGAGCAGTTGATGTTCATTTAGGACATGGGCTGAGGCTACAGGTGTCTCCTGGACAGACCGACGGCGGCAATGTCGATTCTGTTATACTCCATGCTTTTTCAAGCGCCCAAAGTGGACCCAGAGTCATTAACAATCAGCCTTCAAGCTATATCGAACATAGTGATGCTTCGTTGTCAAAAGAAACTGAGCTGAAGAGGCCTCCTTTTTCGAGGTCCATGCGCCTCAAGTCCCGAAGTATCCGCCGACCCCGGCCTTCGCCAAGGCCCGGGCGGCGCCTGGGACCACCGCAGGTGTGGAACTTTTCCTTCTTAGCTTTCCAAGGTCAAACCACATCGCGTAAACCTTCTCCTGGCATGCGTCATCCTCCAGTTCAGATTTCCAGGCATTTGGACATGAAAATTATATGCTTTGGGCAAGTAAGTTTTCCTGCGGAAAAATTTGGTCTTTCAAGGCCAAAGCAGCCGTTCCCGCATTCCCGTAGTAGCGGTTCAAGTCATCGACCTGATGAAGACGGCGGGGCCCGTCCTTTGCCTTCCGTGCGGGCACCAAACACGCGAAGGCGCCTGCGCCGGCTTCACCTGTGCAAGGCCTTCCGCGCGGGCTTTAAATGTGCGCGGCAGCTTCCACCAAGTTCCTGGCCGTCAGCGTTCCAGCATTGCAGCCTGCCCTTTGCCTGCACATAGCCCTGTCTTGTTAGGGCATTCGAGCCTGCCGTTTGCCAGCCTTCAAACGCTTAAAACCCCTAAAACCCCTAAAACCCTCCACCGGAGGTGTGGAACCGCGCCACCTGCCACCACCCTTACAATCCTCCAACTGCTGCATGGCTTCCTCGCGGCAGCTGCCACCAAACCCTCTGGCCGTCAGCCTTTGCTGCTCCAGGGTTGCAGCCTGCCCTTTGCCTGCACCGTCAGCGTTCCAGCATTGCAGCATGCCCTTTGCCTGCACATAGCCCTCTCTTGTTATAGGGCATTCGAGCCTGCCGTTTGCCAGCCTTCAAACGCTTAAAACCCCTAAAACCCTCCACTGGAGGTGTGGAACCGCGCCACCTGCCACCACCCTTCCAATCCTCCAACTGCTGCATGGCTTCCTCGCGGCAGCTGCCACCAAGCCCTCTGGCCGTCAGCCTTTGCTGCTCCAGGGTTGCAGCCTGCCCTTTGCCTGCACATCGTTTGCCAAGCTTTAAACCCTTAAAACCCCTAAAACCATCCCTCGCGGCAGCTTCCACCAAGTTCCTGGCCGTCAGCGTTCCAGCATTGCAGCCTGCCCTTTGCCTGCACATAGCCCTGTCTTGTTAGGGCATTCGAGCCTGCCGTTTGCCAGCCTTCAAACGCTTAAAACCCCTAAAACCTCTAAAACCTTCCACCGGAGGTGTGGAACCGCGCCACCTGCCACCACCCTTACAATCCTCCAACTGCTGCATGGCTTCCTCGCGGCAGCTGCCACCAAGCCCTCTGGCCGTCAGCCTTTGCTGCTCCAGGGTTGCAGCCTGCCCTTTGCCTGCACATCGTTTGCCAAGCTTTAAACCCTTAAAACCCCTAAAACCATCCCTCGCGGCAGCTTCCACCAAGTTCCTGGCCGTCAGCGTTCCAGCATTGCAGCCTGCCCTTTGCCTGCACATAGCCCTGTCTTGTTAGGGCATTCGAGCCTGCCGTTTGCCAGCCTTCAAACGCTTAAAACCCCTAAAACCCCTAAAACCCTCCACCGGAGGTGTGGAACCGCGCCACCTGCCACCACCCTTACAATCCTCCAACTGCTGCATGGCTTCCTCGCGGCAGCTGCCACCAAGCCCTCTGGCCGTCAGCCTTTGCTGCTCCAGGGTTGCAGCCTGCCCTTTGCCTGCACCGTCAGCGTTCCAGCATTGCAGCCTGCCCTTTGCCTGCACATAGCCCTCTCTTGTTATGGGCATTCGAGCCTGCCGTTTGCCAGCCTTCAAACGCTTAAAACCCCTAAAACCCCTAAAACCCTCCACTGGAGGTGTGGAACCGCGCCACCTGCCACCACCCTTACAATCCTCCAACTGCTGCATGGCTTCCTCGCGGCAGCTGCCACCAAGCCCTCTGGCCGTCAGCCTTTGCTGCTCCAGGGTTGCAGCCTGCCCTTTGCCTGCACATCGTTTGCCAAGCTTTAAACCCTTAAAACCCCTAAAACCATCCCTCGCGGCAGCTTCCACCAAGTTCCTGGCCGTCAGCGTTCCAGCATTGCAGCCTGCCCTTTGCCTGCACATAGCCCTGTCTTGTTAGGGCATTCGAGCCTGCCGTTTGCCAGCCTTCAAACGCTTAAAACCCCTAAAACCCCTAAAACCCTCCACCGGAGGTGTGGAACCGCGCCACCTGCCACCACCCTTACAATCCTCCAACTGCTGCATGGCTTCCTCGCGGCAGCTGCCACCAAGCCCTCTGGCCGTCAGCCTTTGCTGCTCCAGGGTTGCAGCCTGCCCTTTGCCTGCACCGTCAGCGTTCCAGCATTGCAGCCTGCCCTTTGCCTGCACATAGCCCTCTCTTGTTATAGGGCATTCGAGCCTGCCGTTCTCCTGGCATGCGTCATCCTCCAGTTCAGATTTCCAGGCATTTGGACATGAAAATTATATGCTTTGGGCAAGTAAGTTTTCCTGCGGAAAATTTGGTCTTTCAAGGCCAAAGCAGCCGTTCCCGCATTCCCGTAGTAGCGGTTCAAGTCATCGACCTGATGAAGACGGCGGGGCCCGTCCTTTGCCTTCCGTGCGGGCACCAAACACGCGAAGGCGCCTGCGCCGGCTTCACCTGTGCAAGGCCTTCCGCGCGGGCTTTAAATGTGCGCGGCAGCTTCCACCAAGTTCCTGGCCGTCAGCGTTCCAGCATTGCAGCCTGCCCTTTGCCTGCACATAGCCCTGTCTTGTTAGGGCATTAGCCTGCCGTTTGCCAGCCTTCAAACGCTTAAAACCCCTAAAACCCCTAAAACCCTCCACCGGAGGTGTGGAACCGCGCCACCTGCCACCACCCTTACAATCCTCCAACTGCTGCATGGCTTAGCTGCCACCAAGCCCTCTGGCCGTCAGCCTTTGCTGCTCCAGGGTTGCAGCCTGCCCTTTGCCTGCACCGTCAGCGTTCCAGCATTGCAGCCTGCCCTTTGCCTGCACATAGCCCTCTCTTGTTAGGGCATTCGAGCCTGCCGTTTGCCAGCCTTCAAACGCTTAAAACCCCTAAAACCCTCCACCGGAGGTGTGGAACCGCGCCACCTGCCACCACCCTTACAATCCTCCAACTGCTGCATGGCTTCCTCGCGGCAGCTGCCACCAAGCCCTCTGGCCGTCAGCCTTTGCTGCTCCAGGGTTGCAGCCTGCCCTTTGCCTGCACATCGTTTGCCAAGCTTTAAACCCTTAAAACCCCTAAAACCATCCCTCGCGGCAGCTTCCACCAAGTTCCTGGCCGTCAGCGTTCCAGCATTGCAGCCTGCCCTTTGCCTGCACATAGCCCTGTCTTGTTAGGGCATTCGAGCCTGCCGTTTGCCAGCCTTCAAACGCTTAAAACCCCTAAAACCCTAAAACCCTCCACCGGAGGTGTGGAACCGCGCCACCTGCCACCACCCTTACAATCCTCCAACTGCTGCATGGCTTCCTCGCGGCAGCTGCCACCAAGCCCTCTGGCCGTCAGCCTTTGCTGCTCCAGGGTTGCAGCCTGCCCTTTGCGTGCACCGTCAGCGTTCCAGCATTGCAGCCTGCCCTTTGCCTGCACATAGCCCTCTCTTGTTAGGGCATTCGAGCCTGCCGTTTGCCAGCCTTCAAACGCTTAAGACCCCTAAAACCCCTAAAACCCTCCACCGGAGGTGTGGAACCTGCTTTGTCATAGCCCTTACCAGGCTTCAAACGTTTCAAACTCTTACAACCCTCCAAATCCCTCGCGCCACCTGCCACCACCCTTACAATCCTCCAACGGCTGCATGGCTTCCTCTACTTATATATACTGCCACCACCCTTACAATCCTCAACTCGAGCTCCCACCGGTCTGTTTCGTGTAGGTCTTGAAAGTCTTTACTTCTCCTGTGGTTTTATTTACTGATCCTGCCCTGCCACCCCCACAAAGGGGGGGTCGGCGGCACAGGGCGCTAGCCCATTTTATTAATTTTCACTCGGATCTTCCGCTCAATATGGTAGTCACCAATCCAGTTCCAGAACGCGGCAGAGCCAATGAATGTTCCTTCTGCTCTATGATTCGATGCTGTGCTTTTCAAGTTGACCTCTGTGCCAAGACGCATCCTGAGGCATCACCCTGACAGTACCGACAGTAGCTACCTGCAGCTACCCTCGAAGGGGACGATGTCGTTCACGGATGTCTCGGCCAGGTCTCCAAGCTGGAGAGCTTCATGAGGTCCGGCGTTGCGTTCACCGGCGGTCCACTATGATTGAAGCCGTCTTAAAGCAGCGTAGACATCTTCTAGCCTAGCGTCTCCAAGTTCACTGCCAAGCCAGCCAAAGAAGATATAGAATTATGATGAATTATGATGAATTATGGATAATTAATGCAAATAATGCAGGTGAAATTCACAGTTTCAAGTTTCAAATGTTTCATTCGCAAAGAACCTCTTCTTCATGCGGCAAACAAAGTGGCGGCCGCCACCTCCGTAGAGGCGGTTGTGAGCCTGGGGAGTTGGGAGTTTGAGTTTCAGTGGTTCAGTGGAACATGAACTGAACATGTCCAGTGGCTGTAGTGGCTTCCCGGCCTCTTCTGCATGTTTCAAGGCCTCCAAAGATCTCCAAAGTACTCAAAAAGCACCGAAGACATCTGACATTATCTGCACTTAGGACCTGTTCATGTGCACCTGTTCCAGCACCAGTTCCCATCCTTATCTTCTGTTGAGGCAAGAGCCTCCTTCAGGTCGTCAGCCGATGGCAAATTGCTCGCGGGTGCAGACAAAGCCCATCTGCGGCGAAGATTGGCACAACATCACAGCAGTCGTCCCACTCGTTTCGTCCCGTACGGAAGGCCTGGACAAGCTCTGCGTCAGCATCATTCGATATTTCAATTCATACCTTGCGAGAAAAAGGCACTCTGACAGCGAGCCAAGCATATCCGTGAGTTTCCAGAAGCTGTTGGGTTCTCCCGAAATCAAATTCCCTCAGGGGGTCAGACTCTGAACTTGGAGCTACCATGGCGACAAGCGATACACAGTTGCGGAAAGCATCAACCTTGGCCGCAAAAATGTTAACTGGAGCAGAATTCAGAAGGGCTTTCCCTGAGTGCCCAGCAGCTTCTTGGAACAGGCCCGCTTCCTGAGCAGCCTTAGCTCTGGCTTCACAGCGCGGAGGTTGGCCTGGACCATATGCAGTTTCTGCAGTTTCAACCGCAATGCTGGGACTCACGCCATGGCCAAACCATGATCACCCCAAAGAAATTGCGACCTATGGCCACAGCACACCGATGACAGAAACGAACAGTAGACGATCAGACTGGGATCAAACCCTCGCCTCCACAGTCTCCGCAAACCTGCAGATAAATCCTCAGCTGCCTTGTCAACTGATGCCAGTACCTTAGGACGGAGAAATATCCTAAGCAGGACCCAGCAAGACATAGAAATCCTTCATGTTTCGAATTTCATGCACCCAAGTCATCCAGATGTGTCAGGCGTCTTCTCCATCCCTCTCCTTACAATGTGATTTTTTGGGAGTTGCCAGTTGCCGAAATGCCAATGTTAGCGCCCAATATTTTTCTTGCCACAGGAGGCTTTCAATTTTAAAAATTTTTGACGTGTGTTCTTCAGGTTGAGGACAAAATTTCACAAGCGGGGTTTCAAGGCAAAGTTGTTCGGTTTCCTGAGCCAGTTTCCCCCTACTCTGTGGAACTGCGGACAAATATGCTGCACAAAGCACAAAAGATGTGCCAGGCAAAGCGCAAATTGAATGCGTGTGCATGTGTCAGCATACCAAACAACTAAAAATTTCGTCCATCCGATACAAAAGTATGATGCTGGTCTTGGTGGAGTAAAATGTCACAGTGTTTTTGTAGACAGGCATAGAAAGGGAGAGGGTCCAATCTGTTAGATGCATCCTTCGCAGATGTGCATTGAATCTTGTCTGTATACTTGTGACATACCATATGATTTAGCCTCTCTTTGGAGGCGTTGGTTTCCCTCGTAAAAAGTTCTCTTGCGTCGTCTCTCACAAAGACATTACGCCAGCATAGACCCCAGATAGCACAAGATGCTTTTTAGTAGCAACCAAGCGCTCGCCTTTTTTGCTACGGCATAAACGTAATCTCCATCACGGCCCAGCCACCCCTGCAGCCACACCAGCACCCAAGCTTCATAGCGCACACTGCACTCTGACAGGAATACCCTGTAACAGCACCCAAGTTCCTGCAGTCAGCCCTTTGACAGTATAGTGCCCTGCACCCGCACCCTGCAGCGGCGCCCTGCAGCGGCGCCGGCAGGCCAGCTCCAAAGCACACACAGCACTCTAACAGCAGCACCCTGCAGCGGCACCCTGCAGCGGTACCAACATGCGCGCTTCAAAACGCACATACCCAACTCATCCCATACTTGAAGCAAGAACTCCAATAGCTTCGCTATCTGGGGAAAAACGTGTATTGGCAGTCCGAGAAACAAACCATTATGTCTTGGAGAGGCTGCAGAATCTCTCCATCAAGAAAGAAAATTGTGTCTGTGCTGACCTTGGAGTCTGGCTGATCGAATCATCTTGACGATTTTGGCCATGTCATTCCTTCCGTTGATTCCCTTGCCTGCCACTGTCGACAACCTGTGGCGACCTACTTGGAATGAAATGACACCGACACCAAGGCTTTCAAAACCACGTCAGAAGTCAGCCTCGAGCGGCAGAGAATTTCTGAAGTTCCGACCTGAACTTGGCAGCCATTTTTTTGTGGAGGATCAACGAATCCACCTAAACTTGTTTGTAGTCGCAGATTCTCTACATGTGTTTCCAACAATTTCACGAATTTGGCAGCTGCGTAGCAAATGAGCCGCACATGGGCTGCATATATGGAAAGGCAATCATGAGAAAGGAAAGAGTGACTCTATACACAGCTGCAGCAGGAACAACTTCTACAGTCCAAAAATGTGTACCCAAAAATTACCAATCATCACTCGTCCACATAATGACTAGTCCATAATTGAAATGTGAGACCCATTATTAACTTTGAAAGTGATAATGTCAATCACTCGTCCCAACCAGTGGATTGGGGGAATTTCGCCACATCGACGCCAAATCTTCGACAGGGCGACTCCAATCTGTCTGCCAGCTGCGAAGCAACCAATGCATGTGGAGCCTGTGCCACACAGATTTCTGGGGCTCTGGGGCCTCATAATTTGCAAAGTTCCAGAACATGCATGAAAATTGCCATAATTTAAGTACTGATTTATAGATTTTATAGGGTATCCAAGGGTAACCCTGTGTCCCCCACTGTGAGACAAATCCATCTGAATGTTGCCCACCATGTTCAGCCTCTAGTGCGCATCTGGCGCAGCAGCAGTGAAAACCATAAATATGTTGTAGCCTGGGGCAGCAGAAAAAACTAGATTTGTTCAGGTTCGTTTCAAATGCCGTCTGAAAATGTGGTATTCATCCAAGAAATATTTCAATAAATCCCTGACACCTCGAGAACCCCAAAATAGGCATTGAATGGACGTTGATTCATCCCCCACAAATATGTTATGTATGTATATATATATATATTTGTGTGTGTGTATTCGGTTTTTACTTCGACACATTCCCAAATCAGACAAATTTAAATAAGATGCTGACTTCTTTTGCCTCTCGTGCACTGTGTCAAAAGGGTACACCTCATTCACCAACAGCAACTTGGCTGTGTTCAGCCTGAAACATTCTCACCCTCATGATGTGCAAATGCATTTGCCATGGCAATAAGGGAGCCACATAAGTATGAAGGAGCTCCTGAGCAGCCAATATGTCTGCAAATTTCGAGCAAATCAAAACGATCTGCCTCGCCAGTCTCAATTGTTGTAGCCGCACGTGCAACCAATGTCGAGCCACACTCCTTCAAGATTGTACCCAAATCATTTAAAAAAACTGGAGATGACAAGGCAAATATGCCCCCAAAGTATTGGGGTTCAGAACATGTCTCAACTCCGCGCTCCTTGCTGGACCCATAGTTTATGACAACATTCCCAAGGCAAGAGTGATTGAATAGAGATGCTGCCAACCACAAGCCACCAAGAGATTCCGATTCATCCAAAAGTAGAGTCCATGCGTTCCAGTGCTCTGTTTTACGACTGTTTGATGAAACAATGGAAGCCACGGCCTTGTCTTGTTTTTCCAAACAAGGCTTGGGTACGTATCTTGACTGCATTGAATTGTTGTGGATTTCACCCGCGTGGAGATGAGCAAGATACTCTTCAAAGATGGTTTTCCGACGACCAATCTCCTTCCAATTCGGGTTTTGACAGTCGCTTTGACTGTGAAGGCACCAAAATGCAGACATTTCTAGAGGTGTCGCAACGGCAAATTTGTTGCAGCATGTTCGTGCAAGCTCAGCTGTTGCTTGTGATATCAAAGCACCGCATGTGCTCGACATAGCAAAAGCATCTTCAATGAGCAGCACGTCACCAGCGGTGATTTTGCGCGTGGCAACAAGGCCCAGACCACGTCCTTCAAACTCATGGACAGCAATTGGACCAACGTATGACTTGGGTTTGGTGTTTGTATCCAAATGGAAACCACCATTTCCACCATGGAATTGTATCCAATCAACCTGTGTCACAGTCGGTGCAGGTGTTGCAACTGTTGCAGGTGTTGCAGGTGTTTGGGAAATTTGTTCGCAGACTTTAATGGCATTGAAGATTGTAACCAATGTGTGATCATAAACAGCACTGCGCGCCATGGCCCGTCGCTCCGTAGCAGCTCTGCATGGTGCGAAGGTTTTCTTAAATTGCATGAGAAATGGTTTCGTGTGATCCCATGTTGCTATCTCAAATAGAAACCGAAACATGATGCTAGAGCAATATTGTATTTATCGATATGATACTCACATAGTCATATGTAGATATCAACGTGTCATCGCGAAAGCACACCGACTTTCAACTGCAACAAATCAACAAACCTTTGTCCCATATGAATGAAATGTGTGAAGGTCTTTTGAACCCAAGCATGTACTTTTTAACATGTCAGCTCCAATACAATTCGATCCAAATTGGATTGATGCACTCATGTGTTTGCATTTGGAATTCAAGTTTTGGACGAATTCGTTTGGACGATTTGCATGGGAACAAATTGACTTTTGGGTTTCGACCCCTGCTCACTTCCAAACATCGAGTTCAGAAGCACCTTTGAATTCCGTGTGCATCGGATTTTGTTGGAATGTCCTCCTAGCACAATTAAGACTGCCTATTGGGTCAAATAACATGCCAATCCATCACCCATAATTGACAACTGTGTCATCCTCTAAAGATTTATTTTCATGTTTAAGGGATTCAATGTGGTTGGGCAAGACCACGCTGCAACTGCCACGGTCACTTTTTTTGACCGGACATCCCGGATGCACCTGAAACCTTCAAGTTTGAATTGATGTTTAAAATTACACCAGCATACACCCCAAAGAAAAACGCTTTTAATTGCAACTCCCCAGAGGTAAATGAGTGTGCTACCGTCTCTTCCGACCCCTCTTTCTCTAGTCCTCTAATCTACATTTCCTTGCATTTGGAATCCGTGTTTCGCAGCCTTGCATTGGTTCCAATTTTGAAAAATTGTTGGTGCCCAACGGTTGGAAGAATGTATATATACAACGCTATTTCGTGGGAACCCTTGATTCTCAGTTTTCTTAAACCTATGTTTCCATTTGAAACCCATGGTTTCCCTCGGAACATTGGATTGGTTTCCAAGTGTCATTTTGGATTCTGGTTGCCCTATTGCGGTTGAGGCATGGACTTCACTTAGATTTTTTTTAAACTGAACTGAATGAAGCACCAGCCTTGTCCAAGAGACATGGGGGAGGCAAGCGACAGACCACCCACCAAGTGTCAAAAAGGAAGCGATAGCAGTTTTTCACACACGGAAATCCCAACTGCGATCCACCAGTGAAAACCGAAACCACTTCAGCAGTTGGATCCAATTTTTTTCGTGTTCATCCAGCCATACAGTCAAAAAAATGTCAAAAGGAAAAAACAATGTATTGACATCTCAGTGACCCTCGGATCACAACCGAACACTGTAACCCTAGCCTGTCTCACCACAAGCGGTGGGTTGAGTCGAACTCTCAAATTCGAAACCCAAATTTCCACATGAAACCCAATGCAAAAATCATCCAAAAAGCCACGGTTGACATCACTGTTTGACATGAATGCCTCGCAAGGAAACTGCCAAATTTACACGCCATAAAATTGGACTTGACAATTGTGTGTAAATACCAGATGCGGGTGGGGTGGGGAAAAAATATTAAAAAGGTACATTCACAGAAGTTTTCTAAACTCAAATTATAGCAGTATAACAAGTCAAAAATTATTCGCAAACAAAAACATAAAAGACTACCATATATTACTTCATTCATTCCACAAAATCACGAGCACCTACCATTTCCACTACCTCATTCATTTCTCAAAATCATCAGTACCTACAATATCTCTACCTCATTCATTTGCTCAAAATCATCACAGTCAATTCATCACACCCTCATTCATTTTCACAAAATCATCACCACTAATCAGGTCATCATCTCGTTCATTCCACTAAATCATAACCACCTATCATACTTCACTTCATCCGTTTCTAGAAATCATAACAGTCAATGCGTCATTACCTCATCCATTTTACATCCAAAAGCAAAACAACCAAACAAAACCAAAAGAAAAACAGACCAAGCAAAGAACAACACAAAGAACAAAACAATAGACCAACAATAAAGATAAATTCTTAGTCTTGACTAATCCTATTTTAACAGTCCATAAATCGACTAAAAAATGTTATTAGAATTATGTTGGGTAAATGTCTTCAATAATTACTAATTTAAAATGAAATGCGTATTCCATAATACTATCGTTTTATTTTCTCTGTTACAGATGACGCCAAAACAAAACATGTTGCAAAGTGCAATTCAGCGTTCGCTCACTTGTTTTGACTCTGGGGCTCGAAGTCTATCAGACAGCCTCGCGTCCGGACGGTAGGGCTAGGCTGTGTGCACACAAAATTGTTAGTCTGCATCCAACGGTGGCAGGTGTCCGGTAGCTTGCAAATGGTGGTGCAACTGCAGTTGCACGATTTGCCACAACTGATATTCGATCACAGCAAGTTGATTTTGGAGCGGCTGCAGTAACGTGGCAGCGGAGGTAAGATACTCAGCTGCGTCAGGCACAAAATTGGGAACATTGTTTCGTAGGTGTGTCAGCATTTGTTGACATTGGTCCAATTTGGCCTGGAAATAAGTAAGCTGCTGCAGCGGGAAGAAAAAGTCCTGAAAGGAGACATGTGGCGAAGACATCAGATCGGTCGCACGTCGAAAGGCGAAAAATATGAATGGAGATTATGAAACATGATTCACGTGAATGTTAAACTGGAAAAATTGTGACTGGACGTGCAACATGTCACATGACATGGACCGTGGTAGTGTTTGCTACAGCCAAAACTGGAGCAAGGACAGTCACTTGACCAACATGTCACATGACATGTAGTTTGACACAAATGTCGATGTGGTATTGCGAAGCTCACTTGAGCGACTGCAAAGCATATATATTGATATATCAATATATTACACCATATGAAAATATGATGTGAGATAAAAACAGGGTGGGACAAACGCAGTGGGATGGGACGAAAAATTCAATGGAACGTGTGCTCACTTGAGCGGAATTGCACTGGCATGTATGAAAATGCATGACATGATCACAACATTATGTTTTGGCCGTGCTATACACATAGCACTGTCATCATCCACTTGAAAATAATATTTCATCAAACAAGTTTGAGTTCCATCTTATTTTCTCTGTTACAGATGACGCCAAAACAAAACATGTTGCAAAGTGCAATTCAGCGTTCGCTCACTTGTTTTGACTCTGGGGCTCGAAGTCTATCAGACAGCCTCGCGTCCTCCCCCAGAATGGAGGCTGGGAGAGTTTTCATTCTGACATCTTTCCCACGCTTGCAAAAGATCCATTCGTGATCTGTTCACACCCTTATAGGCGAGAGTTTCTTCTCTCGACAAGACATCAGCAGGGTTTGAGTAACTGGGTACACGTTCAATCCAACATGTTGTATTGAGTTCCTCTTCCATAGAGCAAATGCCAGGAATGATGAGGTCGACACTCAGGTTGTTGGATTTGCACTTGACAACTGATGCTTGCACGCTCTGGTTATCACTAAAGACTACCAGTCTGGCGTCGTTGATCAAGTCTTTGAACAAACTGATGCCAGCGAAAATAGCCAAAGCCTCAAGTTCCATAATGGGCGTCTTTTGATTCGGCTTCATCATGGCCTCGAGGAGATCTTTGCTCACAACCTCACTGAAGCATCCGCGGCATGAACCCTCAGAATCCAAAAGAAGACCGCCAACTCCAGAATAGCCAGAGGGTTCAAAGGATGCGTCTACATATAAGTGGAACCAGTCTGTGTGGCTCACTCCCACAGTCCGCGGGGCATTGCTGTTCAGGAGATTCACCATGAGTTTGAGGGCAGCTTCCAGGTTCGGGCTCAAAGCTTTTAAACCTCTGGACAAATGTATGTTTAGCTCCTGCAGACAATTGCGAAACCTGCGTCCAAAAAGTTGGTTGGATGCGAACTGCAATCGTCCTCGCAATTTTTCACCCTCCGACTTGGAAAGGTAACCAGCTGCAAGAATTTCAGAGATGCTAAGGATTAGTTCATCTGCTCGCGATTGAGTATTCCGCACATCAAAAGTCCCTTGAGGTGTCTTGGTTAGCGAAAGCTCAACCCCCAGAACTTTACAGCACTCTGCGTATGGCACCAGTTTGTCGGTGGAGAGGTCCCACCCCATCAAATGGAAAAAGGTTGAGATGCAAAGGTCCGTGTGTTTGGCCAAGCCGTTGGTCGTCAGGCTCAAAAAGTCATCAAAATAAGATGTCCACGTCAGTTTTAGAAGCCTGCTCCCTATGACCCACAAACCCATGGCACAGCGTAAAAACGCCGTCACAGAGGCCACTGATCCAAAGGGCAGTACAGCTTGTTGAAAAACTTCAGGACGATCCGAGTCGGGATTGTACACTATTATATACGAGTCCATCTCATAAGCTTCGTCCGACAGTGGGATCTGCTTGTAGGCTGCCGCAAGGTCCCAACATTTGGCCAGCAAAGACTCTCGACGTTCCTGATTGAAGAAAGACTTGATGAGCGCGGCACCCATGCCTGCAATGTGGTCCACCCCATGCAGCGTCACCACCTCGGTCTGTGTGACCGATGAATTGACTAAGCTTGCTTTGTAATCATCAATCGGGCGGACTTTGTCTCGTTGGCGGACCCCAAAACGGCGGGTCAAAGTACCCCCTGAGGGGACATCCTCCACTCTAATCGGGCCGCGCAGGAATCCTTTGTCCCTTTCTTTCATGGTGGCATCATACACCCCGGCATCTATTTCCCGGTCCCCGGAGCTCCTCACGCTCTCCAGGAGGACCTTTCTAGCTCTGTCTGCAATTCCCCTAAGGGCTTCTGGAGGGATGTTGGCCGGTTTGAACTTTGGCGCGAAGTGGTTGGAAGCCGGAAGTTTGCCTGTCAAGTCAAAGCCGTGGGTGATGTCATCCACCAAACTCACATCAGGAGATCCCGCTCGCTCCAGCAGAGACCCAAAAAGCAGGAGGCGCTTCTTAGCAAGCACTGTTTTGCGCCTTGCTGTCATGGCGTCTTTGAGTTTCATTTCATCCTTTGCCAGAGCTTTCGCTTCCT